CAGGTAGCATTTGACAGATTATTAACAATAGTTAAGGAGGGAGGAAAAGGTCTACTGAGAACCTGACCCTCCCAAGTCGCCCAACTACTGCACATTGATCCAGAACGGTATCATTTTACACAATACCGTCTCTTACTCTCGTCATTAAACAAACGATAAATCAGTGTTTACAAAATGTCATACATATAATAAACGTGGTACAAGAACATTACAGGTAGCATTTGACAGATTATTAACAATAGTTAAGGAGGGAGGAAAAGGTCTGCTGAGAACCTGACCCTCCCAAGTCGCCCAACTATTGCACATTGATCCAGAACGTATTGTGTAAAATTAGTTATTTCTAATAAGTAAACAAATCTGTATCTAGCGGCTATAAAGTTCAAACAAAGCTGTTGAAGGTGGGCGTGGCACCTGTCAGGGGTTGAAAAAATTTATTACTTGTTTCAACTGTATTCATTCAGAAAACTTTGAAATGAACGAGTCAAAAGGCTTATGTAAGCAACTTATTGCCTAGACCAGTGCTTTTAAACTGGGTAAATGGTTCACCCAGGGGCTTTGCTATTCATCATGTATGTGAGCAATATGCCTTTAAAAGATCCTAATCATGGGTTCGCATCACAATTCGCGGACGATGTTGCGGTTTGGAAAAGTGCCCCACCCCATCCATAGCAGCAACAAATCTACAACCATTAGTAAATAATGTAGAAAAATATTGCCAACAATATCGAATAAAAAATAAACGTTCCTAAAAACAAATTACTTACTTTCTCAAGACTAACAAAACATAAAAAAGACCCATCTAAACTATACATGAATGGAACACTTCTCCAGACCACAAACTCTGCAAAAATTTTTAGGATTAACTTTCGACCCAAAACTAACGTGGGTAAAATATACGAATAATATATTAACAAAAATCTGGAAACGTATAAGTTATGCAAGAAGTCTAACAGTCTTTCAAAAGAAGAAACTGAATGTCCTGGAATGGCCCAGTCAAAGTCCTGACTTGAATCCAATAGAAAATTTGTGGTGAGACTTGAAGAATGTAGTCCATCAACGAACCCCAACGAACTTGTCAGAATTGGAGCAATTTTGCGGGGAAGAATGGATATAAATGACATCATCCCATTGTGCAAAGCTGGTACAAACATATTCAATAGGATTCACAGCAGTAATTGCTGCCAAAGATGTTTCCACCAAGTACTGACTTAGTAGGCTTGAATACTTACGCAATTTGCAAATTTCAATTTATATATTTTCTTTGCAGGTTTTGCTGACATTCAACCTTCTTCACACATAACAGTGTTAAGTTTGAACATTAGAGTTTTGAATAAAAACAAGTTCATTAAAAATTGTTTACATTATTTGTGTTTCATCAAAATGTGACATTATTGGTAGATGTTGAATACTATTGTAAGGCACTGTAAGTAAAGGCTAGAAAAACCCCAAACAATCATGCCTATGTTAAAACAAATGCACCTTTTGTCAGAAATGGGGCATGTTGTACATAGCAATCGAAATTTGTAACCTGCAGCAATACCTCATCAGTATTCCCACATTGCCATTTAGTTGTGAATGCTTAATTAATTGGTTTCCAGTAAACGTATGGTGAATGTTAGCTTGAAATTGTACACAGTGTGTCTAAGAAGAGATTGTCAGATTTGAATGTAATAATCTCGAAAATATATTAATTCTAGCACATTTCAAGCCATAAAAAAGATTGAAGACGTTACTTACAGGTGGGAATCGGTCAATCTCGAGTCGGGTTCGGAATCCTTTCGGAAAACGGGACTTTCACTGAAGAGAGGTCGCCAACAGTACGACGTTTCCTTATCTTTAGTCGACCCGTAACTCAACAAATTTCCACTTTCGTACTTCTCAAGTTCTTGACGTTTATACTTCAATAAGAAATACTATTCTTGAAAGATAAGGCTAAGATTTACAATTAGCTACTCCTGCCTTGTCTTTGTTTTGTGGGACAACGTTTCAGCCTTGTTCATAAAAACCGAAACGTCACCCCACACAACAAGCAAAGCTGGAGTAGTCCATTACAAATTCCTACTTTACAATGTCTAAACTTTTTAAAACATTAATGACGTAAGGTTATTGAAAATGACTTTTATTATTACATAAAAAACGAGGAGATCGGCTTCATTAACTCTAATAGTTTTTCTTAAACCACAAAGCTAAGAAATGAGTCATCGGTGATCTTCCACTCCGGATTTTAGCGTTGTAAGTCCATAATTTTATCACTAACCCACCGGAAGACCTAACTCGAGAGGCTTGTTGGTATTTACACTTCATAAAATGATGCTGCTTAATTAGCTTATAGAGTATATATTAGTGATGATTAGGGGCAGTCAGATATAAACACGAGTGGCTTGTTGGTATTTACACTTCCTAAAATGCTGCTGCTTAAGTAGCTTATAGAGTATATATTAGTGATGATTAGGGGCAGTCAGATACAAACACGAGTGGCTTGTTGGTATTTACACTTCCTAAAATGATGCTGGTTAATTAGCTTATAGAGTATATATTAGTGATGATTAGGGGCAGTCAGATACAAACACGAGTGGCTTGTTGGTATTTACACTTCCTAAAATGATGCTGCTTAAGTAGCTTATAGAGTATATATTAGTGATGATTAGGGGCAGTCAGATACAAACACGAGTGGCTTGTTGGTATTTACACTTCCTAAAATGCTGCTGCTTAAGTAGCTTATAGAGTATATATTAGTGATGATTAGGGGCAGTCAGATACAAACACAACTATAATGTGATATTGTATATGTAGAATATATTTATATATATATACTGTTGTAAAGCTAAAATAAAGCAAAAACAAAAATTAGAAACCTACTTCTTTCTCCATTTCACATCACAGAATTTTGCAAAAAATAACTTGAAAATAACTAGAATGCTAAAAACTAACAATAGTTCCTTCCATCAGTATGTATTCCATTATAACTGAACGCATATTAATATATTAATTATAGTTAGACAAATATTACCTCTTTGTTTACTGCTGGTATCTAGTTCAGTTATGCTGATTTTTCATTATCTATTTAAAACGCTATCTATTGATAAATTAACTTATCTTGTTCAGAAATCTTGAGGGTTTTTTTTCCATAATTTTTACCAAGCTTAGATTTATAAACCATCCTCTTCATGAAATCCGTCTGTAACAATTGTTTTATAATCCAATGTTTTGTAATTTTTATTTTGAGACTTAGTGACTATTTTGTTCACGTATAGGTTATTTAGTTGTTCTCATTGATGCTTTTGTTTTACCTAAATATATAAATATATGTACGATAAAAGGTTTGCTTTAAGCATTAGAGAAAAATATGTCGGATTTATTAATAAATTTCTGTGCACGCCTATTGGAGTGTAAATATTACGAGGGATGTGTTTTACAACATCAAAGCAATTAGTATAATTTTTTTATTACGTTTATAGTTGAATACGATCGTTGATTATTATTTATCGAAATGAAAAATCAATTTACACAAGTACCACATTTTTTAAAATAATTGTATACTGCGCATATTTGTCGTCTATTTTCACTTGCGATACAAGTGTCAATAGATTCGCTGAGAGCCCCCCAGTGGCACAGCGGTATGTCTGCAGACTTACAACGCTAGTATCCTGGTTTCAATACCCGTGGTGGGAAGAACACAGATAGCCCATTGTGTAGCTTTGTGCTAAATTATAAACAAACAGATTCGCTGAGAAAATAATCTACGACGTGATACAGAATTACAAGCGACTAGCGCCAAATTGTTGTCGACCAATGAAAATGCATCAAAACAAGGAAACTATTTTGATTATGTATTTATATATAAGTATTATACTGTTTATAATTCTATTAAGTTCACAGCCGTGTATGTAATATTTGGCCTACAATGAGCACACACAACACACAAATTAACAAAGACCCCCTATTCTCTAGGAGATCTAGCTTTGGAACTAAGACAAATACATAGCGACTTTCTGGCGATTAATTTGTAGCACAAAGCTGTAAATGTTCACTGTATTCTGGTATATTGAAGCCCGCAGATGATATAAATATATGTATCTGAAACGCATTTTTAATTCGTTGGATATTTTAATTTTAGGAAAATTCAATGAGATTCGTGAAAATGCACAATGAAAGTAAAAGACAAGTCATAAGTTTTGTTTCAACTGGTTTGTTTCAACAGTGGATCTAAACGTCGATTAGTGTTACAACAGTATTAACTGCCTTTTACACAAAGCAGTCTGTTGATGTCATGTAATATCAAATTATCGGACGTTTATGTCAAATATCATGGTGTAAATTAAACTTCCAATAATAACCCCCTTATATTGAGGTCAGTATGCCCTACATATATGACATTCGACAGTGTTTTAAACCTTTCAACCTGATATCAGTAATGCAAGTGTGTCTGTTCATGTTTTGTAAAGATGTAGTAATGTTTTAAAATGTGATAACTTGCCCTTACGAACTTCATCTCGTAGCTTTTTTGCTGTTGTTGTTTTGTGAAGCACATGATGAAAAGTATATACGTCTGAAATCCACAAGATAAATGTTGACCATATAACTCGAGTGCTTTCGAAAGGTGGACCTTTCTTCTTTAGGGGGAAACAGTTACCTCTGAAGAATAAAAGTCCACCTTTCGAAAGCGCTTGAGTTATAGGGATTATACATACATATACACACAGAGAGAAATTGTATACTAACTATGATGTATCTACATAAGGACTGAAAATGTAACTTTAACTTATGATCCTTTTCTGTGAAATTAAAAGTCTTTCCTGTCAACGAAAAACTCTAAGCAGCGCCCTCAAACAGAGGCAAAAACGCACTTTTATCTTATTCTTTTCCTGTAAAGTGGACAGGGTAGGATGCCAAGAAGAACCTTTTTAATTTAGGAAATATTTATTAACTCGAACTATACTGTTTGTTAAAAATCTGCCTTTCTTAATTTACAACTAATGACCAATCAGTAATACTCTCCGCTTTCGTGGTTACTCCTAACCGAAAATATTTAAAACAGGGCAGATCTTATGATTTGCAATTATCTGAACACAACAACAACAACAACAACAATTTATAGAAAGACTTTCATGTAATTTTAGTACGGATTGCTCTAACGCTTTCCATCTAAAACAGATCAGAAGGACTCTGTAAGTAACAGAAATGGCACAAAACTAAAAAATAATGCCCCCCCCCCCAGTGGCACAGCGGTATGTCTACGGACTTACAACGCTAGAATCTGGGTTTCGATACCCGTGGTGGGCAGAGCACAGTTAGCCCATTGTATAGCTTTGTGCTTAATTACAAACAAACAAACCAAAATAATGATTTGTACATTTCATAATACTTACAATTTCAAGTTGTGTAGCAACACTTTGACGTTCAGCTTCCAGCTCTCTTGTCAGTTGTTCAAACTGAGCCTCCTATTGAAGAAAGCACAAGTAATGAAAGAGTATGATCAAATACTCACAAAAAATCGTTATTGAAAATTCACGCAAATGTATTTGCAACAATATTATCGTTTAAAGTACAGATGGCGCGACCTTCTTTAGGTAATATTGTGATCTTCTTCGGGTTCTGTTATATGTAAATGATGTATTAATTTATTTCTAATAAGGTAAATGGTTTGTAACAGTACCGTGTCTTGTATTTTACACTCCTGAGGATGACAATGATACGACGAAACATGCAGTATCTGTTTTTTGGGACCGTCGATGGTCTCAGGATAATGATTTTTAGATTGTGTATTTCAAACATTTATAGTGTGAGTGTCTTAATCTATATTTAATATTTATTGGAATGTCTTATAACCACAATTCTGATAATTATTTATACATTGTTATAGTGTGAATGCCCTTTTTAAGTTGGCCAGCAAAGCACAAGTATAATATATTTGTCATAAGATAATAGTATAAAACCTATTTTATTTTTGAACACTACATTTTTATTTAGTCCCTTAGGTTTTTTTTTTTTTGAGAAGAAGAATATATAACGGTAAACCACACCAATGTTAGCCATATCTTACACATCGCTTATATAAATGAATTACGACTACTACTATCTTTATTTTATCTTAGTCGGCCCGATGAACTTTGGTAAAGAGCAAAATAGATGTTAGGCCATGGATATGACGGACATAGTGTGGTTGAAATACTGTTATAAACTCTTCTTCTCTCAAAAAACAAACAAAAAACTTAAGAGTCTGTATAAAGAAAAAATACAATAAGCCTAATAATATTGTATTAATACAAACACGATTGACTACTTCTTATATTTTTGGCTTGGCTTAAGGACTTAAGACTCATTTTGGAGTTCTTGGTATGGTTACGACAGAAAATATCGTTAACAGCAAGAGTATCTAACTGATTTTCAACCAGGGTTTTCTTGAGCTCATGGAGAATTAATTTACGATATTAAGTATTTCTGATCAGTTTGCTATACAGGATTTTCTTGTCGATTAAAAAATAGCTTATTTTTCATCAGAAGTTCTTAATAACAAGAAAAATAAAAGATTAAGATAACGTTTCGGTATACTTCAAATTATTTAAAGAACATTATTCGTACAATCACAGTTTTCTAAAGCATGCAATTGGCTTCACATCTTTTGCATCACTTCATTGGAACTTTGGCCTATTATATCGTTTATCAGTGTACTGTATTTGTTATCATGACTCCCACACACGCAGCTTTTAATGTTATTGTATATAATCTTACTTATGTGTATATGTATTAATATGTAGAGACAGATATGACAAAAGATAAACGGAGTATATGATAACCGTAAATGCAGCATTATCAACTTGTTTGTACGTTTGTAAAAGTGTGTAATGATGAAAATATGCCACTCACATTTGACGCACAAAGTTCAATCTAACTTAAAACTTCTACCGACAAAGATGCAGTTCACAGACTGCAGTGATTAACAGTGTTGAAACATCCACAAGCCACAACGACAATGATTCGTGAAGAAAGAAAAGTTGAAAATAAAAGTCTCAAAAGAGTCTTGAATATAAAGGAAATAACAATTCTTTAACCCCCAAAAAGGCGGAAATATAATTTCTCCTTGTCAAAAACCCATTTACTTAAGTAAAAAATGAATAAATAAACAAAACCGAACTCATTAGGACGAAAGAAGAAGAAAACAGGTCTCGTAAATCTAGTGCTGTGGGTGATAATGTGAACTGATATCATTATGAATGTCGGTAACAATACTGTAATATGAGTACATGGCTGTTCTAAACACCAGCCATGACACTGGGACAGTAAAATTCCACAAATACTGTCGCCGAGTGAAAAGTTATTGGTAGATTTGGCTCTGTGCTATCATATAACATAGGACCACACACTGGACATATATGTAAATATAGACTGCACAATCGTATATCATAAACTGCAAAACTTCAGAGAGCAGTAGCTAACATGAGTTTGATATTATTAACCAGAATACATATTCGTATATACACGCTATTTTTGTGTAAAAAATATTATTATTGTTGAAACTCTTCTAAAATATTGAACTTTCAAATACATACAGTGTCTTCTTAAATAGTTTATATTCTACAAAATCCTCCTTTAAACAAAACAAAATATGTAACATTAAAAATAATAAGCTACTGATACATGTATGGATGTGTGTAAATATATAACCAAAAACTTATCAAACCAAGCAGAGTGCACTAGACTGAACTGATCAATTTTTTTCAGCCAGGAAAGTTCATGTCGTATAAAAAACTTCATTAATTATAAGGTAGAGTGCGCTATTGATGTTTAAGAATGTTCGTTTATGTAGAACTTTTCAGACTATTAATAAAAGAGAAGAGGAAAAAGTCAATGACAACGGTAATAGGAATGAGATTCTACTTAAAACGACAGTAAAAACAAAACTATTGGAAGGAGAATTTGACAGTGATCTCAGACGATCAAGCATTAACCTCTAAAACATAGAAAGAACAGAAAAGAATGATGTTACGAAAATAAACGAGAATAACGCCAGACGAAAGCAAATGTATATATGACAAATTGGTGAAGAGCCGACCACAGTACTAAAAATAACAAGAGTCTGGCTGCTCTGATGTATTGTAAAAACAACAAAAAACAATTAGTTAACGGAGCGGTAACTTTTTTGAAGCGCATGACATCTCTTTCCAGCAATAACATGGCCAAAGTAAAAAGATCGGGTTGGACAGGAAGAGAGAAACGACGTTCAAATGTCACAGGTAGTATAAAAGTAATCAAAGATTACAGGTAGTATAAAGGTCATCAAATATCACAGATATTATAAAGGTCATCAAATGTCGCTGGTAGTATAAAGGTCATCAAATGTCACAGGTAGTATAAAGGTAATCAAATATCACATAGTATAAAGGTAATCAAACGTCACAGGTAGTATAAAGATCATCAAAGGTCACAGGTAGTATAAAGGTCATCAAATGTCACGGATAGTATAAAGGTCATCAAATGTCACAGGTAGTATAAAGGTCATCAAATATCACAGGTAGTATAAAGATCATCAAAGGTCACAGGTAGTATAAAGGTCATCAAATGTCACGGATAGTATAAAGGTCATCAAATGTCACAGGTAATATAAAGGTCATCAAATATCACAGGTAGTATAAAGATCATCAAAGGTCACAGGTAGTATAAAGTCATCAAATGTCACGGATAGTATAAAGGTCATCAAATGTCGCTGGTAGTATAAAGGTCATCAAATGCCCTTTCAGCCGTGGGGGCGTTATAATGTGACGGTCAATCCCACTATTCGTTGGTAAAAGAGTAGCCCAAGAGTTGGCGGTGGGTGGTGATGACTAGCTGCCTTCCCTCTAGTCTTACACTGCTAAATTAGGGACGGCTAGCGCAGATAGCCCTCGTGTAGCTTTGCGCGAAATTCCAAAAACAAACAAACAAACAAACATACACATAACTGCTAAAATTGAGTTATAACCTTATCTGAATACCTAATTGCCATTATCGAGTGTTTCACAGCTTATGAGAATCCCAATATCATTGAAAGTGTTGATAAATGGAGAACTGGGAACTAGCTAATGAGCCAAAGTGTTCACCTATCTATCTTTTTTCGTTTCCCACACCAGCCAAAGAGTATGTGGAGTTTTCACAATGGCTTTAGTACGACAGAAAAGCATTTTAAGAGTAATTGGGAACTGGCTGTCTCTAAGCACGGTAGTGTTTAGTATAAGCAAAACCAAAAATAAAAAATCATAATTCTAGTGCAAACAATTTTATCATTACCACTTAAAGTTAGCCTTCTTACATAAATCTGCTGTCCCTTTAAAAAACTTAACTACAGGGTGAAACATGAATTACCAGCCAAAAATAGATGAATATTAGATGACTGTAACATGTAGAATACTCAATGCATTGTACATTGTATAGTCGGTTTATTTAGGAATCCAACCCCTATATTATGTATCAAGTGAAAGAGTCAAAATAAAATCAATACACATAATGTTAAATTTTATTACACACATTCATAGAACACATTTACTTTTAGTCAGGACAAAAACGTCGCAAAACAAGTAATAAAAAATGGCAATGTAAACGTAAAATAATGTAGGGATGACAGGTTCAAAAAGAATGTAAACGTAAATAAAGGGGTAATACAGCTATACATTTTTCATACGTTCTTTCCTTACTGTAAGTTTATCAACATTAAGTCCCAAGAAGTCAAGATTATGAACAGTGATGATTAATAATATATTGTAGCCAATTGTATGGTATAATATCAATATCCGAGGTCATTCTACAAGTGCATTGAAGATACTGACAAAACTGACATGTTGTTAACGATATATATTACCACTGAATTATAAAAATATAACAAATGTTCACTTATCAACCTATTTCATTAAAATTGTAATTAAGTAACAAAAAATTCTTGCAAAAATTAAGTATGATGTTGGGATGGCAATGCCAAAAAATACAGACACAAGGTAGGGATGTATACACAAAACCATACAAACATCACTACACGAGTAGCCAAATCTTTCCAGAAATAACTTTTATGTACAACTAAATGTTGAGTTTCTGTCAATTTCACGAATTCAGGTTTGAATAAAAGCATTTAAACTGAATAGTGCTATACAGTCTTACAGTGGCTAATAACCATAAACTTATAAACTTGACTCAGTACTTACTGGCTACTTATGTAGGGTTTTTTGTATGGTTTTGTGTATTCATCCCTCAGTTGTTTCTGTACTTTTCGGCATACTAAAATTTGTAAAATATTTGTTATTACTTGTATAAATTATAGATTAATTCGGACAAAGGTCTAGTTTATGTTAATACCTATGAGGAGTAATTAGTTTTGTTTGTTGATGTGAAGTATTCACTTCCAGTATGATTCGTACATGATATAGTGTTAGAGAGACTATGAGCTGATTGCCTGGGATTCCCTTTCTTTTTGTTT